TGGCCCCTTGGAAAACAAATGATCTGGTTTGTCTTCAGGAGGGCAGAAGTGGACCTCTTCACCTCAGAAGACAACTTTCACTGCCCAATTTACTTCTCAAAGCAGCAAGATACCCTGTCCCACAAATGGCCCAGCACTCACTTGTATGCCTTCTCCCTGATTGCCCTGCTTCCTCAGGTCATCAGACGGGTCAGGGAAGTCAGGTGCTGGATCCTCCTGGTGGCCCCACTCTGGAGGAATCAGATGTGGTTCCCCAAGTTGATTCAGCTGCTATCGGCAGCCCCCTGGCTGATACCATTGAGGATGGACCTTCTCTCTCAAGCGAGAGGCATGATTTGGCATCCCCGGTCCTAGCTGTAGAGCCTTCATGTTTGGCCCCTCGACGGGAGTTTTCACAGCTCCCCACAAGAGTGACTAATACCATTTTGGAGGCTAGAGCCCCATCTATGAGATGCCTCTATGCCCTTAAATGGTCAGTCTTTTCTGACTGGTGTGCAGCATGGAATAAGGACCCATGTTATCCGCGTTAACCTTTCTGCAAGAGCTGCTGGATAAGGGACACACCCCTTCCAAGCTCAAAGTATATGTGGCAGTCATGCCGGCGAACCATGCTCCAGTTGCTGGCGAATCAGTCGGCAGGAACAACCTTGTCGTTAAATTATTTGTTGGGAGCTCAGAGGTTGAATCCGGCTCGTCCTCATACTGTGCCAACCTGGGACTTATCCAGAGTCCTCAGGGTCCTGCGGGCCCCTCCCTTCAAGCCGCTCCAGCCAACCAACTTACGACCCCTGTTGCTTAAGACCATCCTCCTAATGGGTTTAGCATCGGTCAAGTGAGTGGGCAACTTTGAATGAGTAGATTTGTTGACAGTCTATCCTTGCTTTCTGCTTCTGCCGAGTCAATAGGTGAGTTCAAAATAATAAAATAATTACTTATGTAGTCAGGGTGTGTGTTTAGTAAGCAGGCCCTGTATACGTGTTACTGGTAGGTGAGATTATATGGCCATGAAGATTCATGGAAGGCTTCAGGTTCTTGGCCTATATTATTGTTATGGTTTGCAGTTAGTTATATGCATATTGGTTTCTTGCCATCTAACCATGTGACCTGATTATAATAAAGAAGAACTCAAAAAGGAGGCACTTAGATTTGAACCGGGGACCTCTTGATCTGCAGTCAAATGCTCTACCACTAAGCTATACCCCCAGACAAGACATCATCTTACAGGTACAGTGCTGTCCATGATGGTGAGTGGGGGGAGTGCAGAGGGGTTTCTCCTGAAGTCCACGGTCATCTCCACAGTTTTTAGCGTGTTGAGCGCCAGGTTGTTGCGACTGCACCAGACAGCCAGCTGCTCGACCTCCTGTCTGTAAGCAGACTCGTCACCGTCCTGAATGAGGCCGATGAGTGTGGTGTCGTCTGCAAACTTCAGGAGCTTGACAGAGGGGTCTTTAGAGGTGCAGTCGTTGGTGTACAGGGAGAAGAGCAGTGGAGAGAGAACACAACCCTGAGGAGCTCCAGTGCTGATCGTACGGGTGCTGGATGTGTATTTTCCCAGCCTCACTAGCTGCTGCCTGTCTGTCAGGAAGCTGTTGATCCATGTAGGCCTGTCAATCATGCGTTTCCAATGTAGTTATGTATCGAGTTTAGCAGACCATAAAGGGGGAAATTTGCATGGTGCTAGAATGAGTTAATCACACTAAGCATGAGGAAACCAACTTCCATTAAAACATTGTTCTGTGATTACAATTCACAAGAACGATACCGTAAAGGCTGGAATACATTGATTACAAGACTTTTACCCTGATTTTCAGTCCGGATTCCCGAGGAGTCGACAGATTGATGGTTAACGGATTTCACAGAAAATCTCAGTGCATGTTGATGGCACAGACTCCGACTTTTAAGTTATGAATATATAAAATATGATATCAAACATGTATGGGTAGCCAATATATAGGCTACTTGAGCCAATCGATGTAGACCTATCTAAACCAATATATGTGTGGTTATGCCAATGTATTATCAACCAATACATTTGTCATTAAACCATAGCCTACATATGCATTATTTCCTGAACCTTTGGAAGGTTTTTTTTTTTTGGAACATACTGTTTTCATTTGTCACGCGCGTGTCTCTTAGCAACCAGGCGAGTGTTTCCGCGTGAGTTTGTTGTGTTCAGAACAACTTGAAAGTCTAGTAGTGTGTGAATCAGGGTATCTTCACAATTGTGTATGCCATTAGTTAGCTGGCCAATACTCCATATTAATTAAATAAACTCAGTTTATTGTCTAAAACTACCTGTTTTAAGAACATGTTAAGAATCAATAGAAGCGGAGGACTATTATTAAGGTTTTTTTTAGGACTATTATTATGTTGTAATGTTTGGTTGACCAATTAGCAGAGAGGGGCGTTTCATTCCCGCCCACATGTAGAGATCGAATATTCAAGTTGTTTATTCGTTTTCTATCCCTGAATGTAAAAACGAAAAATTAAGCCGGATTCTTGATTTTTCGTTTTGTTTGAATAATTGAAAAACGAAATATGTGCCCGTTTTTCATTTTTCAGATTTCAATATTAAAACAAAAATTGATTGGACGGAAGATACCCTGATTTGTGTGGTCCTCAGTTGCACGTGCAGTTTTTCTAACCATTTACAAAGTCGACAAGTGTGTAATGCATAGTGTTTTCTAATCTATTTTGAAGTCGATTTTAAGTCGTGCACTGTATTCCAGCCTTTAAATTTACAAACAAAAACCTCTAGATAGATAGATTATTACTGAGCAGTAGTCTGCATTGTCCTCAAAAACGAAAATAGCCAAATGACAGCCATATTCAGATTACTGTGGTATGGCCACATCAATAGTTTATGCTAATAAAAGTGATTTAAAGAGAGATTAGTGACCATGTTACAAAATGTCGTCTATTTGTTATAATAGTCACACCTTCCACTAGATTCATGATAATTAGCGAGAGATAATTGATCTGTTTCGCCTATGGCTTCACCTTTGTTTGGGGCGACATCTAGTGGCTAAGTACACAACTACACGCATTCTACTCCAAATACAGTAGAGACTTTGACTTCATGAGACTTTCATCAGATTAGGTTGTGCGTCGGTCTTGATAGCTGTATGTAGCTCAGTGAGTTAGCGTGTACCTGTTTTCTTTTTGCAAAGCAGTTGATCCCGGGTTCGATCCTGTACAACCATTTCATTATAATTCTACTATTGTGCTTGTTGGCCAAAACACCTAATAGTTGGTTTGAGTTTCACAACTTTTTATGTAAAATCTAAAAAGTGAGAAAAGCTTCATGTAGCCATGACTGATTTCCAGATCTGTTTTTGTGGTAACCAGGTCCTGTCTGTGTTATTTCTAGGTGATATTCATGGCAGGTTTCATACGTCTGGCCTATGTTATCCCCAAACTCTGTTTGAAAACCCACTACTAGAGGGTTCTCTTCATTTTTAAGTGATCTGAAAAAAAACACAGGGGGCATCCGGATTTGAACCGGGGACCTCTTGATCTGCAGTCAAATGCTCTACCACTGAGCTATACCCCCATCTAAGATAACATGACACAGGTGATGCTTTCACAGGTTGGTTAGTGTGTGCTCAAGCACATTGTGTGTATAATGGGTGTGTATACAAGTGTGAGCTCTGAGCCTATAGCTGCGTGCTCTCCTCCTGCTGCAATACCCATAAATAAACAAATTGTTTGTTTGTTTTTTTAAATGTGGTTGACGCCACAAAGTAATCTGAAATCTGATATACAGTACAACGATATTATGCAATAGCATTGCCATATGTAGAGTCTATTTATGACTGTATTTTTTTTCCAGGTAGGGGGACCGGGGCTAGTTGTCATACATTATCCTCCAGGTCAGGATATATCAGCACTGGTCACTAAATCTTGGCAACATTAAATAAATAATAAAATAATAAACAAATTCCCAAAACCTAAATCCCACCAATATTGCCCAAGACAAATGTAAATGTAAGCCCTGATTTTTTGACTGTGTAATTAATAACCTGTATACATTTAGAACAATTAAATCTCATGGCAACATCTCCCTATAAAATGTTGTGACATTTATGAAACATACCCATGTCCTGAAATAAATATCTGTACACAGTTAATATCCACCTTCATTACACAGTTGACATGTTTATCAGTGAATGTATATACCAGTGTGGTGTTATTGCGTTCACTTGTTTAGCCAACAGCTATAACAAAAATACAGTGCAATTGAAATTTTAGTTTGGAGACAACACAAGTTTGTCTAATAGACAATAACCTTATAGTTACTGAGATATAGCCATTGTGACAACTTCCCTGTGTGACAGCTAGCCCCAGCCTCCCCCTACATCAGGAATTTGCGAATGAAAATATATATGTTTAGTGAAGCTAATTAGCTTTACAGACATCTGAGCAATACGTTTACTATACATTGAGCTATACAATTAATTAAACCGTGGGTATGACAACAACAAAACAGACAGATGTCAATCAGATGAGTTGTAGGCCTTCTTGCACAGAAATGTATGCAGTTGCACATTTAGCCACCTGGTGTCGCGCGAACAAAGGGCGACAGAAGCTGAAAACGTGATGCTAAAGTATTTTTGGCGCATCCGATTCGAAACTGAAACAATGGTGTGTTTCACTGCTTTGGAGAGAATGTGAACACGGCTTGTGTGAAAACCGATTTACATGAACAAACAGCAGCAAAGACGCCACGATCATAAAAGTGCTTCGCCGTTTTAGTATTACTCAAAAGTTTGAATATGCTGAATGCACATCATTTTAAAACGCTTCGTTATCAGTGTTTATTCTAAAAGGTGATAGTTTGAATGAATAGGCAGTGTGAGGGCAGGTACACTCCCAATATGTCTATCTGTAACATCCGGTTGATGATTTGGGGTTTAAAAGCAGGTCGAGCTGAAGATAAGCGCGATTTAAGACAAGCTATAGTCATTTAACTCATGCGCAAGACGGTTCTTTTCATTTCAAATGATAAAGAATTGGGGAAATACTCGCGAGTGAAAGTCTTCCGCTTATCTCGGCACGGGAGCGCGCAGCAGGACACAGCGGCAGTGCCGTGAGCGCGCCTTCCGTGTCTGATTCGTTCGCTGACAGCCAGCGGTGCGAGCTGGACTCATTAACGGCTAGTGATCCTCACCTCGCGCGTTACCAACCCAGTAGTGCTCCGCGTATCGTTTCTTCATCTCATTCCGTCGCCGTACGATTCCTCCGAAATGAATCCACTGTGTAGCAGATGTAACCGAGTGGTGTATCCCACGGAAAAAGTGAATTGCCTTGACAAGGTAAGGCTAAGCGAAACTTAGCATACGCTAGCACAGTTTACACCTCTGGCTGTGAGAACGGGGTATATATGGCTCTGGCTGTGTATAATACAGATTTTTAAAGATGTGGCTTAAAAGAGACCATTTCCGATGTGGTGACTAACGTTATTGGGAATGCGGGCAGAGCGGAAACGAGTCAAGCGAACGGACTAGTAATGAAAAGCCTTGATTGTGCTAACTTCACAGCACGCTACAAGTTGTTTATCGTTTGTTCAGTTGTCTCCGTGTGAATATCGTGTGATATCGAGACAAATGTGCGGCGCGGTCGTTATTTTTCAAACCAACGGCTGCAGCTTGTTCGTGGCCTCGGTCGCGAGGAGGAGGGTTGTTTATGACGTGTCAGTCTGTCTGTCCTGTGGGCGACATGGACGGACCGAAAAACCCAAAACAGCCCAAGTCGTGTCAAAAGCTAGCGTTTCCTGGTGTGAATATTGCACCCTTGTAGTAACCGGTTGGGCTGTACACGATCTGTCTCGTTTTTTGTTATCCAGCCAGGTTTGCAGATGTGCAACTTCGCGGGTGTATAACGTTGAGGCCTGTAAATTAAAAAAAAAAAAAAACATGCGATTTAAGGGAAAATGTTACATGCATTCATGAAATTTCACGGCAATTCTAGTCGGGGCCTTGCATTTACACGATGTGCACATCTATACAACATGTTTACCAATTGGTCAGAGGAAGTGTTGCTGCTCGACACGCTTGTGAAATGCTTGATATGCAGACCCCACCCCCTCTTAACCCATATCCTTATCGCTCTCGTTTTGAGTTTGCTACAATCTTGAGTTTTTGAATTGCTTTAGATGCTCCAGAGGGTGGGGTCGCCTTCTTTTATTTCCATGCAGCGCAAGTATTTGCGAGGGAGAGAAACTGGGGCGCGTGTAATGGACGTTAAAAGCACATTAATCGATTGGCCTTGAACGAGGCAGCTTGAGGAATGACTGTACAGACCTATAGTGCGTGAATGAGACGTGCAGTTTATGTCAAATAAACGTGGGGGGCGTTTGGTGGCACACACCTCCCACAAATGTTGTCAAAACCAGCACTGACCCCACACACCTACACAAGTTAGTTCCCATTCACTGCCTGGAGAAAAGGCCTCGCATAAGTTGCTTCTTACTGTTGTGTTGTTGAGGCATGCCGACGCTTCCCTCAGCTTGAAGAGAGGCCAACCATCGCTTGTCATTCTGCTTCAGTGCTTGAGCGCATCAGCTGTCACTCTGGAGAACATCTCAGAAGAACCGCACCCAAGAGAGGTGGTCAAGGGGTAGTACTTATGTGGCAAAATGAATATATACTCTTTCTCCTGTTCAAAAAGCATAGGAATTTTTTATTTATTTTTTAGCGTGGCACACAGAAATAGAAGTTTAGTAAAATGTCCAGACAGCCCTTTTCCAGACAATAGCAGTGGATAGTGACTGTCAAGCTTCAAAAAGAAAAACACTGTAAAATAATAACTTAAACCAGTAAGGGTAAACTGAAGCGCTCTTTTTAACTTAACCAAACGCATTCTATATGAGATAAATCAGATATACATCAAATAAACACAATATTACAATGTACAATTGCACAAAAGGCTGCAAACGAACAGCGCGCATCTGAAGTGTCTCTGAAGGAAATAATGCATTATTTATCGGCTTTAAGATATCGGCCAAATTTTCTTATCAGGCCGATACCGATAACAGAAAAAATGAGCCGATATGGGCCGATACCGATATGGTGGCCGATATATCGTGCATCCCTACCAGTAAGTTTTTTTTTTTATTCTTAGAAACTAATACTTTTTTTTTCAGCTAGGAGGCGTTAAATTGATAAAAAATGGCATATTAGAATGATTTCTGAAGGATCATGTGACGCTGAAGACTGGAGTAATGAACCTGAAAATTCAGCTTTACCATCACAGGAATAAATTACATTTTAAAATATATTAAACTAAAAAACGGTTATTTTAAATGGTAATAACATTTCACAGTATTATTGATTTACCATATTTTTGAATAAATAAATAAATGCAGCCTCAGTGAGCATAAGATAGATAAGATCATTGCATACTGCTTTATATTTATCCATCAGTAAAATACAGTGTGCTATACTATTGTAAGCTATTTTTAATGTGTATTCCATTGAAATAGACAAGGAATCTTTCATACCTCTCTACAGATCCTCCCTCGTGTGTTTCTTCTGTTCTGTTTTCTTATATTTTCCCTATTTCTTCTTTTCTAACCCTTTAGCAACAGACTAAATACCTAAAAAGCATTTTGAAGTAAGTGTGTTAATATTTTTGGCTATGAGCGGAATCTCTGCTCAAGTGTTTGCTAGCAGCATCTTCTCCCTGGTAGTGCAGAATAGATGCATGATTTTGTTGCTCACAAGCACGTGTGATCAACTACTACATTCCAGCTGACTGGTAAGAAAGTGTTGGATATAGAAAGACAAAAATACCATCTAAATTATAGGCATTGCAGTTAGCATGCGTGACTGGCTGCATAGATGGAATGTAGGGTAGCGGGTCAGGTCAGTCCCCCCAGTCCATTTTCTGTGTGTGTGTGTGTGTGGTCTCTTATCACTGAAACACTCCCATGGTCAACATTAACTAAGGAAGCTGGTAATCAAAGTCTGCCATAAATTACAGCTACATACTTTAGTGTATAGCTATTGAAGGCCAGTAACTCAGTTGCGTCAGGGTGTTTCCCATCATTTGTTGTTTGGTTGTGGATCATTCTTTCTGTTTTTCCCTTATGTTGCAAGAAGCTGGGAAATGGTGATGTAACTCAGTTAGTAACCACTTGACAACCAGTGTGATCCAGATGGGTGTACTATATAAAATGTCTATGCCAGAAGGTCTTTAAAATTGATGCATTCAAACAGAAATAAAACAAAACATGTCTTTACTTTACTTTAAATGGACATGACCTCAAGTTGGGTTTCTTTTGTGTCACACATGGTGCTGGTTCCTCTGTTGCTTTCAAAGAACAAGCACTCCATTGTTTTTTGCATTTAATCCTCAGAGTGAACTGCATAGACTGTGTAACAACCATAGTGACTGAATTAGCAACACTAAGGGATCTGAAGGACTTCATGTCATTTGCACTTTTTATCTGGCTTTATCTTTCCCAACTCAGTTGCAGACAGTTTCCCTATTTCTTTTGCATACACCTCCCAATACCAAGCACATTTTAAAGCTTTAATCCTTCATTCCTCTGTGTCTCTCTCTTTCAGTACTGGCATAAAGGATGCTTTAGCTGTGAAGTCTGTAAGATGACTCTAAACATGAAGAACTACAAAGGCTTTGAGAAGAGACCATACTGTAATGCGTAAGTATCTCTGCTCTCTGTGAGTTTTGTGCGTATCGTATGTCTGCTTTCATTGTCAGCTTTTTTTTTTGCTACATATTCCTAAAGTTACCATGAAATAAATTCATTTTATTATGGTTCAGTGTTACTGATCTGTTTAATTTGGAAATGTCATAATACAGAAATAAATTCTTTCACTGTGGCTTTAAAGTCACAAGCTGCCTCCGAAATTGCATGCTGTCTGGTAGGTACTGTATTTGGTATGAAACTTACTTCATGGCTGGTAAAATGTAAATTTTATTTAGTATTAATATGGGTAGTATGAATAAAATATGGACGTGCTACATCCACCATGTTGTTAGTCACATGACCTTCCAGAGTCAGTTGCGTCACTTCACTGCAATTCACAACTCCTCAAAGTAGTAGATCTTCCGAGTACTTTTCACCTACCGTTTTATTTTGAATATTATGAATTCAGACATGCTGCTCTTTTCACAGTTTTCACCTATTATATAGTATGGAAGTAGGCATATTTGGATGAAGCAAACCGACAATTGCCATTTGCAACACTATTTTAGTAAACTAAGATATTTAACAAGACCAAATATATACACAGATGTTGGTATATTGAGAATTATGAAATGAAAAGTGGGTGTTAAATATTGAAGTGGAACCAGATACAATGCAAGGTTTCTAAAACAATGTCTGTTTGACAACTAGCTGACAGTGTCCAGTAGCTTGCTTGGCTTAAATGAATATAGCGGAAAAAGAGTGCCTCAAAAGAAGAGGAAGTTAGTATATTTTGAAGACACCAAATCAGACACGTTTGTCTTTTGAATGACGTGCACTGATGCAACTTTCAAAATAAGACAAGACGCATGCATTAAGAAAGTAAACAGAGCCAATTTTAATATACCCCTGGTTTCACAGACGAGGGTTAAGCCTAGTCCCAGACTAAAATGCATGTCTGGGCTGTTTTACCTGAAAGAAACTTGCACTGACATCTCTTAAAATGTCAGTTCCATTGTTTTGTCTCAAGATGCACACAAGCAATGTTATTTTCTAAGGCACATTTATAAAAGATTCTTAAATGTCCTAATTGAACTATGGCCTAATCCTGGTTTAACCTAAGCCCTGTCTGTGAAACCAGGCCATAACTTTTTTTTAATTGTTTCTGATTGTCAATTGTCTCAGTAAGTGTTAGTTGATCGTGGAAAGGTCACGTCCGCGGACACAGTAGCTGCATTCATTCAGTGGAAGGGTATTGGAGGGAAATTCCTATTTTCACAACAATGAACCATACACGCATACAGAAATGAGTTCACTTCTCTGGAATGAACTTCTGATCACTAAAAGTCTTGAGTCAGATACCTCACTTATAGCATTCCTGTTTTTAGAAGGTTACCATTCATGCTTCAAGTTGCAGTGGTAATGCAGACCACCAGGTCTAGCATGCTACTTTGACATGGCTAGAGTACATTTATAAAGTCATGATGACCAGCTGGCATACAAAATATGCAAATGAATCCCTTCTGTGAGTACTGATGTTTCTCAAGGTCCTTATTTCTTATTCTCACACACTTCTGTAATACACCAGGGGATTTTAGTCTTTATTTAGCAAATGATTTATTTCTGTCGCTCTGTCTAGATCTGCTTCTTTCCAGTGGTGGAAAGTAGGGATGTAACGATTAATCGCGAGCCGGTTGAAAATCGATTTAAATATGTGACGATTCAAATCGGTTGAGATGCTAAACAAATCGCGATTCAATTAGGGGTAGGAGTTTATATGAATGTATGTCTGAGGGGAACTTACTGTCTTTCGATGGTATTTTTCTTTTCCTCTTGCCTCTGTATAGTGCATATCAGGGCTCCAGACTCATTCTTCCCACTCACTGGTCGCGCTCTTTTGCAACTAACTTCCTCAGCTGGTTGCACGAGCATGATTTGGTCGCAATATTTATTTATTTTTTGCGCTACAACATGGGATTATTCAATGTATGCTGATTAACTTTTATCATAGTTTATAGTTATATGGAAACGAAAATTGTTAACATTCAACCCGTTCTTTATCATCAGTAGTATTATTTGTAATTTGAATTTTGTGAATGGGAGTTTCTCTTTTGCTTCGGATGCTTTCACTTTCGAATTCGCGATCTTGTTGTCACTGTTTTGCTTACATACATCTACACCTTTCATTTTTTTAAGTCTGAAACAAAAGATGGATTCATTGTTATTCTTAATTAAAAAGCACAACAATAAATCAGTAAGATACAATGACAAACTAGCTTACAAAACGTTTATTAACAAAAACTAATAAGATGAGGCATGGCACACACCACATGCTGTATTATATACAGACTAATAAATTACAGAACATTTAGCAAACACTGAGGAATCAAATAAATAAATAAAAAAGCCATAACTTAAGGTAAACCGCAAATATACGTTTTTCAAAAATGAAAACAAAAAGAAAAGTAAAACTAACGGTGACAGTGCTTGCATGTTTTTTTTGCCCCGCAAGAATACCAGCATGTTCACCTTCTCTGGTTTAAGAAGCAGTCTTTTACTTGACTTTCGCTTGAAAACCAAAAACCTGCGTCTCATTCAGATCGTCTGCTGTTTCTGTTTCATGCAGATATTTTAATGCATAGTTTCACAAAACTGAAGTCAAACCTTTCTGTTTTTGCTTCAAATTTCGAAATTATGCAATGTAATTTAGATTAAAAACTGCTCATGTTGCATGTATGCAGCATCTTTGTTTGGATCGTGATTAAAATGCAGTGGTTGCCTCTAATTTTAAATGGAAAGAGCACAGACAAAGCCTTAGTTTGTTTATATGAAGAGATTTATTTTATTTGTGTTATTTATTTGATTTGGGGCTTGTTTTAAAATTATTTAGTTTTGTTATTTACATTTACATTATATTTAAATTTTGTTATTTAGCAAACGCTTTTATCCAAGGCGACTAACAAATGAGGACAATAGAAGCAATCAAAACCAACAAAAGAGCAATCATTTACAAGTGCTGTATTATTAGTATTATAGTGTTATATTTCAATTTCACAAAGAAACCTACAGTATTTTGTTCAAGCAATAATAAATATAATATAAAAAATATAATTTGTCTTAAATCTCATTTTGTAAAAAAAAATAAATTGTGAATCGAATCGTGAGTTGAGTGAATCGTTACATCCCTAGTGGAAAGAGTACTGAAAATTTGTACTTAAGTACAAGTACTGTTGCATTGCTGAAATAATACTCAATTACAAGTAAAAGTACTGGTGTCAAAACAGTACTTAAGTAAAAGTACAAAGTACTCCTCTCAAAAACTGCTCAGAGTACTAGTTACTTTTTAGCCGGCGATATTTAATGAATTACCAAAAATATTAATATCAAAGATCTATGTGGATAATAGCTACTTTGACCAAAACCCACTTTTATCTTATTGACAAAGTATGTGAATTAGTGGTTATGATACAGAAATTTACCCGCGTACCTGTGAACCAGAAGAATTGACTTCAGGTTGTGATGTATTTCCAAGTGAAACGGATATTGAATAAAGGGCGGGGTTTTGTTGTGGTGCACCTTCACTCCACCTCTTTCTCATAGCAGATTCACGGTTGGATAGGAGTGGTTAAAGGGGTCATAGGATGCCCATTTTCCACAAGTTGATATGATTCTTTAGGGTCTTAATAAAGTCTATAACATTGTTTGGTTAAAATTTCTCAATGGTAGTGTAAAAAAACACCTTTTTTACCCTGTCAAAAATAGCTCTTTTCAGATCAAGCCATTTTTGTAGCATTTTCCTTTAAATGTTAATGAGCTGTACTGACCCCGCCCCTCTCTTCCGAGCTGTTCTCAGAGAGACTGTTTACTTTAGCTGCATTCATCGTGAAAATTGCTAATCAGCACATCATTAGGAAAAACGATTTGCAAAGATTCATTACAAAACATTATACTCACTTCTTCTGTAGATGAGGCTGGATCATGAATGATTTGCGCGAACATAGACACATTTAGGTAGATGGGGGGAGCATTCCCTTCAGAAACAAATGTAATCCACTGCGAGTTCAGCGGCTCAGATGTCGGGAGTAAATGACGACTGCTATGTTCATTATTACATCCAACAACAGAACACCTCAATCGCTTAGGAGTCATTCATGTCTACAACAAGACACCAGTCCAGTCTGTGCTGAAACGCTACTGTCAATCAAACTATCGTGGGAGGGGCCTGTATTGTGATGTCACACAGACAGGCATCTGAGATCAGGTAATGTCGTCGTCGGTATGACCGAGAGCCATTGAAAAAACTACAGAAAAGTAAAACTACTTCACTTTAGCATTACTGGCCACGAGTCCTAGGGAGAGATCACACATCAGCTGCGTCAGTGAGATGAACTGAGCGAGAGCGCAATCCTGAAACAGTCACTGCTGGTGGTAAATAGTTAGTGGAGAGCGTGAAGGAGAGATGCGAGGCATGAACACTGTTCAAGGTCTCCATTAATTCCTGCTTGTAGTAATTTAATGCGTATATATTTTGAAAGCGTTGAATCGCTATAGAAATCGCGATTCATTCGATTCTTAGCATTTTAAATCGAAATACTGTCCGAAATCGACAATTCAAAAATCCATGTTTCAAGATCGATGCATTGCATTGTCAGGGTTTATAATCGATGCATCGATAAAACGAGTGAATCGTTACACCCCTACTCTTTGCGCATAAATATTCACAGACATATCATATCTACTTTTGATTTATCCATCCATCAGATTGCGCGTTTTACGTGACATCCTCGTTATACTGTAAATTCCATGTTCACGGCTGCACCGGGATTCCCTCTGCATCACGGAAATCATACGGCCTTAACTTATAACTTGTTATTAATGCGACACACCTTCATCTGCATGGAGGGATGGTGTCCACGAATATAAGCGAAGATGTTGGATGTATTGCCTGCTTTTGCAGCCACTTTGCTTCCACATTTTTTACAAATTGGATCTGTCCTCAAGGACAACCCCGCGTTTGTTTTTTTTAAATATCCAATGTATTCTCATACTGCAGATTTTAACTTTTTTTTCGACGGGGATGGAGATTAGATAGAATCTCTGTCATTTTCTCCGCTGCACATGCGTGTAAGCAGCCAAGTGAATGCAGTGAAGCAGCCGAGTGGAAATAAGTTGCATATGTGCGGGTGAGATTTTTTTTTCATTCATTTTTTTTAAACAGTAGATATGAAAATGTTTAGGGTATGATAACCGTGCAGGTTCATACCGTGATAAAACCATCATACCGGTATATCGTTACAACCCTAGTTAGTGCTGGATCAGTCTATATTTATTTACGTTGGTTTACAGAGCGTGTGTTGTATTATGTGGTGGTTGTCCATAGCAACACAGTGTCTGTGTATTATACAGAGGTTTACTAAGCAGACAGGGTGTCCTTTGGTAACCAGGAACAGACTACGTTTGGATGGGCTCAGTTGTTGTGTTGTTAATATGATTAATCTGAATTCTGAATCAGCCCTGTTAAATGCTTATGTGGCACGCTATGTTGTTATATGGTTACATTATTAACAAACTGTAGTTAAATTATGAAGACTGTATTTAAAAAATGATTACGACTTTATTACCAAATATATCAGTTAATGTTGTAATAGTAATTTCTATTCTCTGTTCTACAGTTCTATTATTTCTGGCACTCTAATTGTGTGTTGCGTTGGATGATTGTGGTTGGGTTTGTCACTGTCATGCTAATTTTGTGTTGCGTTGGTCTGTGAAAATAGGACAAATAAGCTGCCTTGTTTACACAAGGCACAAATTACACTCCTGCGTCTTCACTATCCCCATACAAATCAGCAACGAATTCGGACATTCACCTTCACGGTCACTAATTTATGATCTTTGTCTTTAGCAGCATCACGGTTAAAAAGCATCCTAGTAGCCTAAGTCGTTGACTTGAAAAATCCATTATTATAAAAATAAAATTAACCTAAATAGTTTATGCATTAAAAGTTTTGCCTAACATTTGGAGACCAGCGAGAATTATAATAATTAAAAATACTTTTTTTGTAATTTAGCTTGGAGAAATACTGAGATGATGTTAGCAAAATGCTGATGTTAACTAAAATGTCTCTGTGTGTGTATTTCAGACACTATCCGAAGACGTCATTCACCAGTGTTGCAGACACTCCGGAGAACCTGCGCCTAAAACAGCAAAGCAAGATGCAGAGCCAGGTATAACACGCCAGCAGTCGCATACTCTCTAATCGATTCCTTATTTCTGTATGTTTCTGTGGCATTAGTCAGTGCACTCCTATGCATGAAATAATACTAAAAGAATGCATGAATCAAGTCATGATCATCTCCCAGACCTCCACCTGCACCCTCCCCTAAGCGTGCTTTCACACCGAGCACGTTTGCTGTGCTCAGTGTGAAATGATCATTAATGCTATCTCTATTACTGTCAGAAAAAAAAGGAACAAGCAAATTTATGGGAAATACAAGTTTATCAGTAGCTATCAATCAACTAACATTTGTTCCCAAAGTAGCCTCTACTACGCAACAACTTCATTGAGTCTAGTTTGCAACCATTATTTGCAACATTACTCATTTTATTGTATTTTTTAAAAATATATTATTTACCATTAATTTATTGCTAACTAATTACAAAATCACACAAATCAGGGTTTTAAACTGTGTTTAGACCCAAACAGATTAAATAAAATAAATAGAAAATAAAATAATATTTAGTTTGACCTTTTGAGGTTAAAAATAAAGGTTTTTAAATGTTATGCACCTGCTTTCACTGACCATTCATTGAAATAAATTGATTATCCATTAACTAAGCTACATATATGCTGATATAATATAAAGGAGGGAAGTATACCTGTGAACCTGTTACACATGAACAGAACAATTACAATTTCTTGGATATTTGCTACTGATTTCTGTGTGTGTTTTTGTTGCAGGTGCTCTACAAGGAGGAATTTGAGAAGAACAAAGGAAAGGGCTTCAGCGTTGTGGCCGACACACCGGAGTTGCAGAGAATCAAGAAAACACAAGACCAAATCAGCAACGTAGGTCCAATACCTGTGTATTTCTCTCTTTTCACATATTACTCACTTTTCTGTGCTTCATATTTTCTCTTTTTTTAGCTGTTAAATTTGCTTTTTGTCTTGTGCTTCCCAAACTCTATCTATTACTCTCCAACAAACAGAAACATACACAGTTTATCGATCTTAATCTCCTTTATTTTTATATAAATGGTTAAAGGGGTCATATGATGCTATTTTTAAAGATCATTATTTTGTGTATTTGGTGTAATAGAATATGTTGACATACTTTAATGTTCAAAAAACACATTATTTTTCAAATGCTGTACATTATTGTAGGTCCTCTATGCCCCGCCTCTCTCAAACGCTTTGTTTTCTACAAAGTCCCTCCTTCCGACAAGCGCAGTCTGCTCTGATTGGCCAGCTGACCCAGTGCATTGTGATTGACCGAACACTGCAAGCGCTCGTCGGAAATGTAACGCCCCTTACCATAATCACGAGCTTCATCTTTCAAAATAAATGTAAAGACAGTAAATTATGTCATTAGTTTTACCATCAGTTCAAGCCCGAAAGGGGAACAGACACAGTAATGATGCAGTACACAAGCTGCGGTTAAGACAGCTGACTCTACTGTGATGTGATGCTGTCTCTCTCTCTCTCACACACACGCGCACACACACACACGATGCGCAAAACTCCGCATTTGAACAGTCAATAGCAAATACTTAAACTAGTAACAAAACATACTTACAATCGCTGCTTCAGAAGCGCCAGATTGTCATAGCAAAGTCAGAATTACCTCCTCTCCCACGTTCATGAAACGGTCGTCCATAAAATGCATTGCTGTTCTGTTGTAAGTAATCTTAAATATTTATTTTTTTGCTTTCACACTGAAACACACACCGTCTCCCTGACATGGCTGCTTCAACACTAACTGCGGTTACTGAAACCACGCCTTCTTTCTTTGCGTGCACATTTGGGATATATTATATATTCGCATTATGCAAATATTCCCACATAGTGAGGTAGATATGTGGGGGCGCGTTAGAACGAGCCGTTTTAGGGGGGTGTGGCAGAGTCTTAACTTTGATAAAGAATATCTCTTTGGTTTTGAGACTATAGTCTTTGCAACTATAGAGATCTTATCTATTCACGAACAGCTTGTAACACTCCAAAGAGAAAGGAAAACTTGAAATCCCCTTTAACAAGAAGTAATAATTATTTGACCTTGATGGAGCATTTAGTCCCACCCTTCCTCTTCTTCTTTCACACCACACCTTTTCACTGAATTATCTGTGCTGGTTGCCTGGTAACATTTGTCACCTAACTTCCTTTTTGCTATGTCATTTCCTGTCAGTATGAAAGCAAGACACCACTTCATTTTATGGCTAAGGAGACACCTTGTGGATGGTGCAGGAATTGCTATTCATTGTCACCCTGGCTCAGAATAAAGTTTAATTAAATTAAAAGCTCTTGCTGAAACCACCACTTTACAAAATGAAGGACTGTTTTCTGAGTGGTTTAATTATGAGATAGCACTGCATCAGTATGTCTCATGCACTCTATTTTTTTTTTTGTTCCTTGCCACAATTTCATACAGTTAATTCCATCTGAACTGCTTACCCAAAGAGCCCACTGCTGTGGAAGCGATTCTCTCAGTTTGAGGGTGTGTCTGTAAAATGGACAGCAGTGTGGTTGTCTTCATTGTGCTCTATGACTGGTTTTAGTACACTGTCAATGAAGTCATCATACACTACCATTCAAAGGTTTGGTGTCAGAATTTAAAGACTAAAGACTGGAGTAATGATGACTGCTGAAAAATCAGCTTTGCATCACAGGAATAAATTACATTTTAAAATATATTAAAATAGAAAACTATTATTTTAATTTGGAATATATGTTCACAAATTTGCTGTTATTACTGTATTATTAATCAAATAAATGCAGCCTTGTTGAGCATAAGATTGAAAAACATAAATTCTTACAGACTCCAAACTTGCACAATCACCTTTGGAAAAATGCCAACTTTATTTGCATAATTGATTCATACAATATCAATTAAAAATGTTTTAACACATTAGCTACTTTTATTTGTGCTTGTATTGTCCTATAAAACAATAAATTTTTTCGGATGGCCCTTTTTTTTTTTCTTGTCCTGCCAACATTTTAACTAGCTTTGCTACATTACAAATTATCATACATTATAAAATTATACAGTTTCATGCGTCAGAAAAATTATTAAAATATTTCATTTTTTCTTTACAACAAATACTTTGCTGACAATTTTACTGCCATTATCTTCATGATTCATGCACACATTTTTGTTAGAAATTGATGTCATATGTTGCATATGTTTATAATTTTCAACCTGTCTTAACAGCTCCAAGACATCTGCTTTTTATAACAAATAATTCTCACAATTTTGACTGTTGTCCAGCTAGATAATCACTCACTTTGGTGACATATTTTGCAGAATTCACAACGTTAAGTACATCGCAGTAAACTAAATGTTAATGTTTGCATGTATATTTATGTATGTCTGTTCTGACACACTGTATATGTGTAAAATGTGTGTTTTAGATTAAGTACCATGAGGAATTTGAGAAGAGCCGAATGGGAGGGGAAGGCCCGCCTCAGCACCCACAGACACCTCAACAAAACACAACTCCAGGTACAACTCGCTGGTTGTCTGTTCTTCTGGATGATCATTCAAATCTCAATTCCACATGGGCCATAAAATAAACACAATTTTCTCTCATAGCATATCAACCCACGGCAGCATCTCAGAACTATCACTATGAGCCCAAGCCTGTGCATCAGGCCGCTGCCGCCCCTCCTCCCAGCTCTGGGGTAATATACTCTCTTACACGCACTGTCCTTTACACTCCTTCTTTTCAAGTCCTTACTGTCCTCTTTGTGTGCTTTGCAGAAGCGCTACCGAGCAGTGTATGACTACACCGCAGCTGATGAGGACGAGGTGTCGTTCCTGGATGGCGATGTGATCATGGACGTGCAGCAGATCGATGAGGGGTGGATGTACGGAAAAGTGGAGCGCACCGGCCAGCAGGGGATGCTGCCGGCTAACTATGTAGAGGTCATCTGAACATAAGAGAGAGAAAGTTGGAAGGGTGGAAAAGAAAAAGAGGGGGTTGTGGCGGAGAGATGCAGATGATCAGCCGAGTGCCATCTCACCTTTCAAGATCTCATCTTTTTCCTCTTCTTTTCCTGCACTAACTGTCCTATCAGGGGTCAGCCTCTATGACCCGGTCAGGATCCAAAACAAACATAGTTCAGTACGTAATCATACACAGCAACAGCGCATATACGCACTCACATAAATAGTGAATGATTTATGACTTTTGCCCATGTCTTTCTCTCTGTCTTTTGCTTTTGCTGTTTGTCTTATTAGTAAGTGTTTCCTCAGTCCTGGAAAGGTGCTGTCACAAGTGGCACTTAAGTCTTAATAAGACTCGCACACACCAACCTTCAAAGTACATGACCACACGGACCTTTAAGATATTTAGGGCCTGCTATAGAGCACTTCGCAGACATCTCAACACACTTATCTTATCAGTTGCTATGACAATTTGTGAAAGAATCTGGTCCAAACGTCAGTTGTCAAGTTTTATATATATATATATATATATATATATATATTCATTTTTTCATATCTTCTTTGCAGCTTGTAATTGTAATGTATTCAGTACAGTTTCACATCTCATTGGATGTGGGTCAGTGGGTAACAATGCTTAATCATGAGAATTCTGGTCATTCCATACGTCCATTTGCATATGACCATTTGCATCATGTGTTGAAACTGAAATCTAGAAAAGGCTCCTCTTTTTCAACTGGACATTCCTAAAACTGTATGAAAAGGACGGAGCCTTTTGATACTTACAGTGCATATTCACTTAAGCTCCTTCACATTCCTCTAGCCCTTTACAGAATTAATTAGAATATATGAGTGTAATTTTGTTCTGCTGCTCTTGCTTTTAAAAATGTGGGGAAATAGTAATGTATTTTGTTCTTCATAAAGGGAAAAAAAAGAAATGATATAGTCACTCAGCAAGCGAGGAGCAGAACAGCATTGTAGAATAGTGAGAGAAGAGAGGAGCCCAAGCACAATTCTATGGACAATTTTAGCTTTGAATTTTAATCATTCCATTGGTTCTGTTCCATTCTGGTTCTGGAACATTCCATGTGCATTGTATCAAACTGTATCTCAGAGCTGTTCTGTAAGACGTTGTTATTGATGTTTTTGTTTGTTTTTTCCCTCATATCATTGCTTATTCTCATTGCCTTGCTGGTATTGTACGAGACAGAATTTTAATGTCAATTTATCAATATCAGTGGAATAAAAAAATCTATTTGTATACCAAGGCAAGTGGGTTTGTCAAACAGACGGAATTGTTAGCAACGGTATTAGAATGTTAATTAGAAGAGCCTAGGATGTATTTCTCTCTAACTGGAAACAATGTTGCTGTGCAAAGACTCTAATGAGATTCTACTGATCATTGTTCTCTAAAATGCCAAAATATAGATGCAGAGAATGATCAAAGTAAGTGTTTTGCTTTCTCAAGATACTATTTCCACTATTGCTACTTCAAAGATTTTTACTCTTCTGTAAAACATTCTCCAGAATTTCTTTAATATCTTATCAGTCCACCGTCACCAATGTTTCTTCAGTTTTCTTTACAACACCCCCTCAAACACCTTATTCTGCACATTATAACCATTTCGTATGTGAAAAGCTATTGCACTTTTCCCAGCACATGATGTTGTAGTATTTATTATGTGCAGTTGACATTCAAAGGTTTGAGGTCTGTAAGATGTTTTTGAAAAAAAGTGTCTTATACTCACTAAGCCTGCATTCATTTAATCAAAAATACAATTTAAAAAAAACAAATATTGCAAAATACATTTATAATTTAAAATACGTTTTTTTATTTTAATATATTTTAAAATGTGTATTCCTTTGATTTTGATGCAGAATGTTCAGCATTATTACTCAAATCTTAAGTGACACATGATCCTTCAGAAATCAGTCTAAAATGCTGATTTGATGCTCAAGATATATTATCATGTCGAAGCAGTTGTGCTGCTTAATATTATAACAATATAAAAATATAACATTATAAATGTCTTTACTGTCACTTTTGATTGATTTAATGCAAACTTGTTAAAAAAAGAATGATTAATTTCTTTAAAAGAAGCAAACTTTCTGACCCCAAACTTTTAAACTAAAGCATATGGATATGGCATACAGATTCTCATGGGCTTTTACCTTTGTAAAACAAGTGTGCAGTGCAGTGTTTTCCCTTAGGCAAGACATTAAGGGATACAAGATATCTAAATATCCTAAGTGTATCCAAGATTGCATAAATATCCAAATTAGCTCATGTAAATACTACAATCCTTATTAGTGCACTTTTGTTTTTTATTGTCTTTTTATTCCAATGCATAAATCTGACAAGATTTAGCTCAAGTAGATTGTTCTTCTTTTACACACTTTAGTGGAAAATCTATGACAGTATGTAGCATAATGTCTCCCTGTTAGTAATGGTCATTATTGAATGACAAATCATCCAAAAATAAACAGGAAGGTTGTTGACAAGGAACTAAAATATGGAAAATCTGGGGGGGAAATATGACTCCTGTCAAAAAACCTTGTATGTGTTGTGTAAACTCAATGCTTGCCCTCGTGCAAGTCATGATTTTTATTGTGTGAATCTAAACGTGCATTTGGAGTCAAAACTCCTGAGAACAGACACGTCCCTCTCAACTTTCAAATGGAACGCAATTGTCTTTGATAAGCACTCAAATTCTATAGGTCCCATATAAAATATGACCGGTTTTATTGTCTTCATTTTTCCGTATAGTACAGCCTGGTTTGCTCCTAATAAGTCAATTTTGCACCCTACAAAAGAGGACACACTTTCAGAATCCAATTTACAGAGCTTGGCCCCAGTTATTGCTTGCTGCATCTTTCTAGAAGGCAGGACAGTAGTGCGCCAATCCAGTCCAGCGGACACAGCCGTTATCGCTACTACAGGGTGACCGAGCGTCCTCCGCATCTTTTGGACCCGCTGCTCTGCCAACATCATGCTGGACGTCCTAATGTTGATGTTCTTCGCCATCATCGGCCTTGTGTTCCTGTCCTACATCATCTACATGCTGTGATCACGGCAGCATCGATGGACCGTCGTGAGAGCGGATGCGTGATCCACGTCCTCGGGAGGGATTTGAGCTCTAAGGTTGGCGATGGGTTTTTTGCAAATGGTATTTTATCGAGGAAAAATTGCATTCTTTGTGCTGTTAATATTGCTTGTGATTGTGGAATTGCAGACCGAAATATAGTACGGTTTTGATTATGGTTAAATAATGTCAAAATACAAATGAATAATTACGCCTATTATTTCAAAAGTAGCTGGATGCAGGCCTGCTGCGAAAAATAACACAATATATTATGTTGAGAATATTACTAGGCCTCTTTCTATGCGTGCCCACAGATGAAAGTGCCCCCTGTCCCGTTCTTGTGCTCATATTTGCTCTGTATGTTGTTACACCGTACAGGAAGAAGCTCTGTTTGTGGGAACATGAGATGAGGAACAGCTGGAGGAGGACGCAGGACACACTTACAAGATGAGACTTAACTCTTCCTTCTCATCTACCTACACCACACTATTATTTGCTTCCCTTTTATTCAGAAGAACCTATATTTTTCTTAAAGGTACAGGCCATGGCTGAAACAGCACCACAAAACCCTGAAATCTACGGCTGTCTGGCTATTATTTTTCCTTTTCTATTGTTCTGTGCAGAATCTCAGCAGACACCTATTTGCAAACTCCCAGTGTAGTTGACACTGTTATCAAATGCATGCATTTTATGTCAATGGATGTTCACAAATGACTGATTTTCGAAATAAAGAGCCTTGGTGAAGATGAAACGGCCTTTTGTCTAGAATCATTTATGTGTCATTGTTTTTACATTAATTTAGTTGCCACTAAATTCTAGTGTGGATAGGGGGTATAGCTCAGTGGTAGAGCATTTGACTGCAGATCAAGAGGTCCCCGGTTCAAATCCGAGTGCCCCCTACAGCTGTTTTGAGAAAATACAAATGCGCTATTTAATTGTCTATCCGTAAATATAACACGACCAAACAAGCCATCCGCGCTCTTAACATAACCGGACGAGACTGACAAACGAGAATGAAGAGACGTTTAAACATCGATCAAGTGATTTGGTCGGTTTTCAGCGGTGCTGGACACAGATAACCAATAGGGAGCAGTACCGGACACCAGATGAGAGCGTGCCACGTAGACAATAAAAAAAGAAATATGAAGAATTACAGCGACATCCAATGGCACCCCGTCCATTAACCCTCCATGATCATTCTCAACCATCCGGGACATCCTAAACACCTTGTAAAATATACGTGGATTTATATTTTCCTCAGTCAGATCTGGCACATACTGGAAAGGTATAGGCTATTAATCTAGTTTTGTTATCAATGGCATTGTATTAATGTGGTTTTAAGCTTATTAATTGTTCTTTTCATGTCAAGTTACATGTTTATTGCATGGGTGATGTTACTATTAACATTATTATTATATTACACTCAGATCAATTCCAAACAGCTAGTTGTATCATTAAAGCATTACATATTTTAATATTTAAGAAACTGGTGTGTTATTGTTTATAGATATAATAATGTATTACAGACAGAAAACAGTTCCTAAAACATTTTGCATCTGTCTGGTCTAGTGTATATATAAAGTATATAGTGTATACACTGAATTTGCACTCTTTTGTTAATCAGTAGAAGAAAAGAATGTTTTCCTTTCCATGATTCGCTTATTATTATACTACTATTAGGTAGTATAATCTCAGGTGACTGTCAACAGCAGCCAACATGCAGAGGAAGGAATACATGGAGTGCAACTTTCAGTATTTAGGTTCACACCAAAAATCACACAACTAAAAGGGATGTTCTCACACACACACACACACACACACACACAGGTTTGTTTTTATGATTTATGGGGACTCTCCATAGGCGTAATGGTTTTTATACTGTACAAACCGTATTTTCTATTGCCCTACACCAACCCTACCCCTAAACCTACCCCTCACAGGAAACTTTCTGCATTTTTAGATTTTCAGAAAAACTCATTCTGAATTATTTTGAATCATAAATCACCTTCTCGTTGTAATACCTATGTCATACCCATGTTATTATACAAATTTGTGTCCTCATAAACCACATAAACATGCACACACACACACACACACACATTACAGATCAATTAACAGGTTTTAATATTACAGTAGTCTGTGCCCAAGAGTGAGTAACATAAAGTTACTTCCCCTCTGGACTCCCCAGCTCCAAGCCTAGGAGTCATGAGACTAGCACATGACAATGTACACCTCATACAACGTCCACATTCAATGTCAAAATAAAGTTTCTTCAACATTTCATTGGTATTTCAATGCTTCAGTAAACCTTTTT